ACACGGCTTTGTCCTGTGACCTTCCACCCCTAAGGCATTCTTTTCAGATGGACAAAACTTATTCCTCCAGTTAACGGTTTCCTCAGCTCTAAGCTTCTCAAAACTCAGCTGTCAGAATCAACTCTAGGGCTGTAAAAGCCACAGGGGCTCAACCTGGTCCACTGACAGGGCTCAGGAATCTGCATTTCTGACACTTCCCTATCCTTACCGACCTGGGCTGATGCTGCCCGTCCTTGGACCACACCTGGAGAGGCACTGTCTCAGCACCCCCAGAGCTGGGCTGGCCAGGAGAGTCTTCTCTGAGGGCCTACCAGAAAGGAAATGTCACCCAAGAGCCAAAACGCAACGACATTTAACATTTAAACAACAGCAGTCACCACGATCTGCTCCTCGGCTTTTGTGATTCACACATATCATTTACATTCTGGTTCCACGCCACCCTCACGCTTGTTTTGGGGGATTCCTCTCCTCCCATCAACCCCACATGACAGTGCCCGTGTTTGCCCACCACGCCCTGATCCCAGACACAGAAGTGTCTCCCGGTGGGCCCCACTCAGAAGAAGGCAATCAGCTGGAACTCAGAATTGAGGCGAAGAAATGTCTGTCCCGCTGCTCTTTTGAACCCAGAAGCTGTGGGCCATCACCAGCTGTTGGTCGGGTAAGAGCAAACAGTCCACATGAAAACAGAGAGAGGAGGGGGCACCACGCGGAGGGGGAGAGCCTGGGGTGCCTGGCTCCAGCGGAGGACTGAGTCCCCGCCCTTGGGATCGCTCCGTGAGTAACCCCAAACCACCTTCTGTTAAATTCCCTTTCTTGCCTAAACTGGCCGAAGAGGATTTGTTATTTACAACCGAGGAGCCCTAATTAAAAGTTAATAAAGTCAATCTTCAGGTACTTCTCTTCTCTGCTTCAATTCACTCAGAGATTATAGTCATCCAAAAACCGCATCCTACCCAAGTTTGCCTGCTTCTAAATCCCTCATAGCTGAAGCCCTAACTTACTGGGCGGATTCCCTGTACTCTACATCACCAGGGATTTCAAATCCAGGGCCCGCCCGGATTCTTCTACAAGAGGCAATTATAATTTATATTGCTCTCCAAGACTAGGCTGGGATAAATGAATATAAATCAAAAATGAATATAAATCCACTTGGTGTCCTTTTCTGAGCATAGAAATAAGAAAACCAAAAGACAGGTTTCAAATTAAGGTCTGGATATGAAGTTTTATTTACCATGTTCAGTAAATTTAAATGTTTAGTTTTTCAATAATGTTTCTGAATAACTCCAGCTATCTGGCCACTTAGTTGTATGGAATTCATGTTTTAAAATCATTGTTATCCACTATTTCTAGGTACAACCGCACACATGGAGCGTTTTATACACACATCCCCGTGTAAACCGGCAGCTGCCCAAAGGAGGAAGAGAGCGTTTCTCTATCTTTGAGTCTAGTTATGCCTCTTAAAGCACAGAAGACAAAGCAGATAAAATTTTGTGTCACTTTCAGCGTAGGTCATATCGGTGGTAACACATCCATGCCACAAGTTTGCAAGGTCACCAGACACGACAAAACCAGAGCTTAATAGTGACTCCACTCTCTCTGTCTGTCGAATGTCATCTATCCTCTGCATTGAACTTCGGCACGTGGGCCTCCTTAGATCAGGACTTCTGGGAATTATCTTTGGCGACCATCCACTCAGCAGAAAAGTCTGATTACTTTGGCCGCCTCTCTTCACGTAACCACAGGTAGTCACAGGCCTCCCGTGGCTTCCCGGAGTGGGCTGCTTTCTTTATGGTAATCAATTTATTTGGCCCAGCTGTCAGGCCCTTGACTTCCCAATTAACAACTGAAATAGAACTTGAGCCACAGGAAGGAAGAAAAGTCAGATTTCCCCAAACATGCAGTTAATGGAAAGGTTAGTCTAGTCCCTAACACATCTGTGTTTTCCCCATAAAATGGAAATGTCAGTCTGGGAAACAATGTACCTGCAGAGGTGTCTCCACACAGGAAAGCTTCACATGATATTTGACTGGGCCAGGTGCCCAGCATCCATTAAGGAGTCATCATAAATTAAAACTGGAAACGAAGCAGCCAAAATTATTGACTAGTTTCCTCTTATTAATTCAGTGAAAGGACGGAAAGGGCCTTAACTACTGCAGATCACAGCTTCTGTTCTCCAGGAAGTAACAGAGAAGAAAAATCCTTTTTCTACATCTTAGCTATTCCTCGGGCCCAAATTGAAAGAAGGAAAAGAAAATGCATGATAATCCACAGATGCCCCTTTCTTGCCCAACTCTATTTTTTAAATCTGACCTGAGGATATTTTTCCATGGCTTTGATAGGGAGAGAGGGTGGGGGGGGCATGCAGGGGGTGGGGAGAGACAGAGAAACATCAGTGTGAAAGAGAAACATCGATCAGCCACCTTCTCATATGTGTCCTGACCAGGAATTGAACCTGTGACCTTTGGGACCACAGGATGATGCTCTAACCAAATGAGCCACATGGGCCAGGGCTCACCCAACTCTTCTTACCAGAAGAACCTTCCCCAGAGTGACAGAATGCCTGTGGAAGGGCTTTGGGGTCTCCTGGGAGGTGCAGCTCCAGCAGCCCTGAATTCCCTGCAGAGATGCTTTAGGAACTGAATTATCACACGACGCTTGTCTAAAGAAGCACAGAAACAGCACGGAAAAGGCGGTCTGAAGACACCGACAAGTCCTGTACTTGGACATCTTTTAGGGCACGAACACTGAAATTGCCCAATTTGCGACTCGAGGACAGAAAGAACAGAAAGGTTTTTCCTAACGCCTTCTTTCTTCCAAGAGCACTGACCTATCCGCGCTCAGAAATGCTACTGTCCACTTTAAACCCAATAAACGGTGAGTCCTCTTCACCTCGTGGCTTAGGAATGATGACTTTTTTTTAAGTCGCATGCCCGTATTTTGGACTAACCCGGAAATTTCTTTGCAGTTTGCCTGACCACAGTCTGCTAGAGTCTAGAAGCATGAAGTTCCACATGCCTGCCAGTCACTTATTGGGTGAATTTCCTTGCCCTGGATTCCATCTGAGCAGACCATAATCATCTGAAGGAGAGGGACTGGGATGCATGTTTTTTTTGAACCAAGTCTCTTGCACCTAGAATGCTAGAAAGATTTTTCAGGGCAAAAAAACTTATCTTAGTCTCCCAACACATTTTCACACGTTCCCACACCACAAAGCATGGCAGATGCCCTTTGGAAATGCGACCATGTCATCCATTTGACTATTGTTTAACCCCTACAGCTCACGGGCTCAAAGAAAGTCAACGTAAACATTGAGAAAGGCCACTGCTATCTACAAATATCATCAAATGGATACAGCTGCATACCCATATTCTATTTGAGGGACTTCATTATCCATTTCCTACTGCATTGTCTCATCATCCAAAAGGATTCAGACACAATGTTTTCCTGAAAGCACATCTTCCCCGAAATCTCATTTTTGCATATTATCTTTCGGTACCACCCAGTTCTCTCTGTCCACGGCACTGGCTACACAGCAAACTCTGAAACAGGAAAATTATACACTAGGACCTTACCATCAGGAGGAGGCAAAAGTCACTCTTAGAAGGGTTGAGGTCACCATAATGTGAAAGCTGATGATATGGGAGAGAATCAGAGAGCTGTCCACCCTTACTGCATTGACTGAAAAACCGACAGATCACTCCATGTCAACATGACCTTCTGACACTGAACGGAGGGGTCAGCTATATGAAGACATGTTGGCTTGAATATCATTTTTTGAAACTTTCAGCATTCACCGACCAGCACAACCCTGTCACACCTCCCGACTATAGGAGAAGCTGTGCTGTCATTGCAAGTTTTAGGCAAACAAGGCTACAATCGGATGTCAGAATTGTATTATGGCTTCATCTACACGAATCATGTTCCCCTGAAGTTCCAGAGCATTATGAACACCAAAGGAAAGAATTCTTAACCCCACCAACTGGCAGATGCAGGAATTTCAACTGTGCTGATACAAGGACTCTAAGTAAATCACTATTAATTTCTTACTTCCAACCCGCTGGTCAACCAGAAACACAGTCCGATTCACCTATGAGATTACTCAGCAAAGCACCCTGCTCGCCGCCACCACTACGAATCTCGCCACATCCTCCACCCACAGCAAGCTACAAACTGAAAACAGCTTTTGATTGGTATTAGCACCTTGAATATAGTTTCTAGAAGTTATCTTTAAGCAGTAGTGAAATAACTGAAGATGGAGTATGACTTGGTAAGTAGTATTATTGATACAACTTTTCTTTCCATGTTTTGAAAGTCATACCTTTGAATTTAAAAGACACTCAATGTTTACCTGTTCCAAAGGGGACGGGGCAGACAGGAGATGGGGAACATAAACATCAAATTATAACCCATTTTGCCAACATCTGCAAGGCTGGGATTACATTTAGATACTAAGGAAAGCCATTCATCTTAAGGACTGAACAATTATTGTAATACCTCTTCATGAAATTTTCTATTCCTAAAATCTCATTGCTACTCTGTGAGTAATTACTTCAAGTACCACCTCAACCACTCATTAGGTTAAGAATAATCTTTTTAATAGTCCTTAAAGAACATAAAGTAAAAATACACACAAAAGCGAGGTCCTCTCTTAGGAAAAAAAAGATATTCCGATCACTCAACAGCAGTGCTCTGCGTGCCATTAGAACCCATTTAAAATTACGACCTGCTTCATCTTAGAAAGCAGCAGTGTTTTCCAACAATTCTCAGTCACACTCAGGAAATGAAGGTTGCATTTAATAAGACAGATACCCAGTTCACCTCCGAAAACAAACTCATACACACGACCCAGGGATTTAGGCCAAGTCCTCCATCGTTCCTGAATTCACAGGGATAAGGAGACAGGGCTACCAGGAGGCTAATTATGAGCCATGTAGGAAGCAGCCTGGTTGGCTGGTACGTGAAATGATCCGAACGCAAACATTTTAGAGTAAATCAGGTACCTGAGAGTTTCATGAGAAGTTCTGACGCTGCTTTGACGGACATGTCCTGCCTCAGCACACTCCCCTTCCCTTCCTGGGGCTTAAGTGTGTCCTCAGAGACGCTGGAGGCTGACACTTCAGATTCCGGGCTGAACACGTAGCTCGACCGAGGCAAGGAGGTGCTGAGGGCCTCCTCTTCCTTAGGCTCCTCCTTCACTTTAAAGTTAAGATTCATGGGCTCCTTCTGATTTGCGGCTGTCAAAAGAAGAAAGGGATTATATATAGAGAGACAGATAAAAAAGGCCATTCCCCTCTTAGCTGTTCCCAACTCAACCAGGTGTGGACGCGCGATCACATTGTGCTAACAGCAGGAGGGACCACAACCTAATCAAAATCGGCTGAGCCCAGGGCACGAAGACACAATACACTCCAGAAGCGTGTGGGCTTCTGAGTCTCTCGGACCTATCCTGTCTTAAAAAGTGTTGATTCTACAAAGTGTTTGGGCATTTTCTCTTTGGTTTCTCTCAACATCTTCTCTCCTGTATGTGTTGCTGCCTCCCTCACCCACCTGCACTCTCCCCACCTAGTCCTTCATGCAGCTTTTCTGCCATAAAGTATTGAATATAATAAACATGAATCAGAGGCCATAGCCAAACTGAAAGCCTGTGTTGGGGTGTGAGGCGAGGATGGAGACTGTGCCAGAGAGAAAGGCTCGGACTAGAGATATATATCTTTTGCTTTAATGTACGCTGATACCACTGACCCACAAACAGTGGGACATACACTTGACATGGCTTTTTGGGTCTAGGTGTGCGGCCCACGTCACCCCTGGGTCCACGGTGGGCACTGTTTAAAGAAAGCATATTTTGAAATAATTTCAGATTTGCAGAGAAGTTGGAAAGATGGTTTGAACAGTTCCCATCCATCCTTCACCCGGCCTTCCCAACATTAACATCTTACTGAGTCATGATGTTTTTGCCAGAACTAAGAAATTCACATTACTGTGATCTAAACTCCAGATTTTATTTGTATTTCACCAGTTTTTCCACTCATGCCATTTTTCCATTTTTAGCATGGTTGGCTGGTGTGGAGTGTGTGGCGAGGCAAGAGCTAACTAGCCTGTTATGGGATGGACTCCATGGTGTGGCTACCACACACCACTAAGCTACACGCCACCCGGGAAAGACAAGAAGGAAGACAAGCATCCTCTACCACCACCCGTGACTTTCACGGGCACCTTGCTCCCTGCTCAAAGGCCGTGTCGGAGGAAGTTCTAGGTTGCTTATGTTGGGTGTGTTTGTCTTTTGAGACAGAAGATCTCATCTTAATACAGAGTTCCTAGCAATGCTTATTAGAATGAGCCTTAAACCCATTCCTACTTAATAAATAAAAGGAAGAAAACAAATCCCAAAGCAAAGACCTATTATTACTCCTTGCTCACCGCCTACCCCCAGCCAGTACTCAAACACAAAGTCCTTTCTTTCTACCTCATGCCCATCTAAGAATGAATATTCTGGAATCACAAGTTCATACAGACCAGCATATTTGGAAAACTGTAGCCCAGAGGGCCAACATGACATTTGGGAGTTTTGCTACCAGAAGAAGGAAGAGCTAGAACCTAGTCCATGGGCTGCCCATCCTGTGTCCCTTACTAACTTCCATCACACCACTCCCCCACCTCTGGTTTCTACGTCTTAACAACACTAATGTAACTTGACCTTCAAATCTTTGCTGAAGTCTGCTGTGTTCGAAATTACGACTCCCTCCCCAGTACTCCCAATCTCTCTTACTCTATACTTTCATCTTTTTTCCAAAATATTTATCAGCTCATAACATACTGTTAGAAATTGAATTGTGTCCACCTTCCCCCAAATTCATATGTTAAAGCCCTAAATCCCATTGTGACTGTATTTGGAGATAGGAAGGTAAGTAAGGTTAAATGAGGCCATTAGGGTAGGGACCCAATCCAATATGACTGGTGTCCTTATAAGAGGAGAGAGCCGGGTGAGGACAAAGTGAGAAGGTAGCCACCTTCAAGCCAAAGAGAGAGAGGCCTCAGGAGAAACCAAGCCCACCAACACCTTGATCTTGCACCTCCATCCTCCAAAAGTGTGTAGAAGAAATTTCTGCTGTTTCAGCTGCTTGGTCAGTGGTACTTTGCTATGGCAGCCCAAACAAGCTAATCACATGCTATATAATTTTCTTATTGATTATGTTCACCATTTATGATCTGCTCTTCATGAAGGCAATGATCTGTTTTAACCCTGATGGGCCTTGAGTGCCTAGAAAAATGCCTGGCACATAGTAGGTGATATATATATTGAATTAGTAAAATACATTGACCACAAATTAGTGACATCAGATGGTACTCCACCATTAACTAAGAATCTCAACAAAAACTAAGAATCTCAAACTATCTCACCAAAGGCAATTAGCTGTGCTCTCACTGGTTATGAGACTGGGGATAAGAACGCAGACGTGAAGTTTGGAGTTCGCTTCCCACACCACAGTGCTCACTGAGGTAGGTGACTCTGACCAATCACCTGGACTCTGGCATTACTAAAGGAGCAGTCCAGACATCAAGCAAAGTGCCTAAATCCAACCCTTTGGGGACAATGCCATCAGAATCTAAACCAAAGGGAACAAAAACAGTTTCTAGAGCAATCTGCAACAAGCATGCATTTCGGATCTCTACCCATCTACCAGGGCAGCAGTTCCTAAGAAGACCTTAGTTAGTACAGTCTCCCCTCTCAGCCAGTTCCTTCTGGGGTTCCTTCCTGGGGTTTGTGCCAATCACCTTCTAGCCCCCCGCCTTTCCTCCAGGACCCTTCACGAAATCTCCTGGCAGGGGCATCCTAGCTAGTTACGATGGAGTCATCAAAAGGTGGGTGGGGCTACTACAGATGTGACTTGGATTCTTTGGGAAGGCATAATATAAAGTGAATGGTTAGGTATTATTTTTAAAGGCTTCAGTGCTGCATCTTTTATTTTAAAGCTTTTTAAAATTCTAAGGTGAGGCTATGAGAAAGATAAGAAACTGCTGGGGCCCGGAAAGTAAACCCAATCTTCTAGAGAGGGCCACCATTATGCTGACGCTCTCTGAAGAATCAAGGAGCTGCTGGGAGCAGTGGGCAGAATACGAGCTACAGAAAACAAGGGGAAAAAAGACACTCATCCCTGTTAGTATAGCCCAGACTTAACAGAACGTCAATAAGACACTTCAAAAGAAACAAAAGGCAGGCTGGATGTTGCTGGATTATAAATTTGCAAGGCACTTTCTACCTGGTTTTCATTCTGACAATGAGAAGAATAGCATAAAACTAGTAACACACTGGGGAAGTGTAAATAAAGACAAGTCGAAAAAGCATGTGGGAGACACTCACTGCTCAAGTTTTAATTTCCAAAACATTGGGCCTAAATAGGAGATGTAAAAATAGAATTGGAAGGTTATCTCGCTTTCTTTCAATTATTAGAAATATTTACATAGAGAATAATAAATAAAGCCTATTATTTTAGAGTTAATGGCTGAATAATTGCCATTGTTTTTTATTACCTGAGGTAATTAAAATACCCATTGTCTTTCTATACAGAAAGGTAAAATTAAAGATATTTTCTTTGGGGGGCAGGAAGCAGGGAGTTGCTCAAAGAAAAGGAATTGTACCTGACTCACTGCATACACAGTCGTATTTCATTCTTTTTTTTGTAACATGGATTTATTAGTCACTTCCATTGTTTCTCCTTTCTCGTAGGCTTCTTTTTTTAAAACATTTTTTAATTGTTATCCAAGTACAGTTTTCTGCCTTCCCCCGCAACGCCCCACAAGATCTGTGCATATATCAGTTTGTGAAAGTTTCGCTCACTTGCCCAGACTGCAGTCTGTATTTTAAAGCTTCCAGATACTCCACTTTTTTTTTACGAAGATACCTTAATATTTTTTTTCATTTTATTTTTGTAATGTTATATTGTTTTAGGAACTATGTATTGTTTTGACAATGTTATCAGAATCCCTCAGTAATTCAATGCAAGGAAAAAATGCAGAAGGCAAAGAGCCATTAGGACCTACTCTGTTATCTCCTTATATCTCTTTCATGATTAAAATTAAATTTTTTTAATTTTTGTTTTTCTTCAGAGACTCCACTCTGAATACAGGGAGGAAGCCCCACTAATCAGGGGCCCATCTCTCACTGCTGCAGAGACGTCAGGCCTTGAGCCTGAGGCTCTGATTGGGAATGACGTACATCTCAAGTTCACAAATTTTGTGCAGTTGGGCTGCCATTTAGAAGAAACAAATGAGCTTTCTGAGGATTTACAGAGGATTCAAGATAAAGGCTAGTATGGGAAAGGAGTGAGAAGCCACTGGGGTAAAGCCCTTCCTAATTAGAGAGTTTCTAACTCCCACAGGCAGGCATGAATGAGTTGTAGAGGAAGCCCCTCTGTGAAGTAAGGTGTCCTCAGTTCTCAGGGAACTTTCTTCCATGTGCCCCTCCTTGAGGAATATCCTACAGAACTTCCTTAAAGGCCCTGATGGATTTTAACAACGTACACAACTCGCATCTGAATAGTCACACAGGAATTATTCATCAACCACCAAAGATAAGGATCATTATTATCTTGGTATTTAGAGGTGAGGAATCTAAGGTCCCAAGAGGTTAATAGACTGACTCCCCTCTCCCCACAAAAAAAATCACAGAATCTCTAGACTCCAGGGCTTCTGGCTAAAAATGCACCCAAGCTCTCTCCTTTCTGTCCAAGATAGCCCAGGTTTCTTAAGAAAGATGCTAACCTCAGCAGTTGGACTGCGGGCCTTAGGAAATATGTGATACGGAGTGAAGTAAACATTGTTCACAAGAAAGGGAAGGGTGAGGGGTAACCTGGGAGGAAAGAATTTTGTGAGAATTTGAGAGGAGGGTGGAAGAGGAGAAACAAACTGCCACATGACAGCTTCTGCTCTGTTCTGGATGGAGTTCCCTCTGGTGAAGGCAAATGACATTCTCCTTGAGTTTGATGATCCAGCTCTCTTTCAGTTCAGAGTCTAGCAATTTTGCAAATGATGAGCTGTTTCATAAAAAAGCAAGACCCATGAGCATTTTATTTACTACCTCACCCTGAACCAGAGCCCAAGTCTCTGGGACCTGCGAGGGACTGCAGAGCAGTGGTTTCCAAACAGTGTTCCAAGGAACCCTAGAATATGCTTCAGGGGTTCCAAATATTCGCTTCCAATTTCAGTTTCTACGATTATTTTTAAATTAACTTAA